TAAATGAAGAAGAAGATACTTCATCAGGGAGGAGGTGCATATTGGAGGTCCTAGGAAGGAAATCATCTTTGGTAAAACAAAGGTCTTTATATTCTAGATTTTAATGTTAAAAGGATTTTTCTAAATAGGGAAATCTTTATATCATTATCTAGATAGATAATATAGAAAGTTAAAACAATTGAAAAGCAGATTTATGTATAACTGGACTGACTATAAGAATTTGAACTGATTAATTCTAGGGTATTTCAGGTGTTTTCCCATGATTTTATTATGCTGATGTAAGCTAAGATTTTTGTCCACATTCTGACATGACAGAGCTTATTAAAATATTAGGTTTACATCTAATAATTCTTGCTGTTTGAACAAAGACAAATTTTTAACGAATCAAATTCATACATCCTTGATCAAACAATAAATGTTTTAAAATACTGAATTGAATTCCAATTTTGACACTTCTCCTCAATTTAACTTAATTTGGAGACTTAATTTGATTGATTCAAAGACATCAGTAATGATTACTGCTGATTCTTGCATATTACTTCTGTTTGTTGGATATTTGTGGGATTTGGGAAAACATTTTATTGGGACTGATGTTCTCCAAATTAAAGTAATATGTTAGTTTTGAGCAATAAAAGTTACACACTTTGTTGGAAATTCATTAGTATTATAAAAGTTCTCTGACAAGACCTATTATCCATAAAACATATGGTAAGACTTATATACTAATCCCTACAATGGGAAGGAACCCTAATCATATTTTCTAAAATACAATTAAGAGACACCTATCTAAAGGATAATATTCTGAGATACAGGGATATTTTGAGAACTTCTCTCAGGAAGAGACTGGCGGTTCTTTTTAAATTGTCCATTTACATGTAACATCGAAATGGATCACCTAGTCAATATACTGGGAAATTACAATGATCAGTAAAAGGTATCTATCTCATTTTCATATCTAGTCTCAATTACTATTAACAGGGAAGGCCTTAAAAATTACCTACTAGAAAGAAAGATCAAAGAGGATCTCTCAAACTTAACATAGACCAGAACAAATATTACAATACATGAATTTGGAGTTTTGAGAGATCCAAATTCATGTATTGTAATATTTCAAAATTTATGCCAAAACGTCTAACCTTATCTAGAGAGAGATTATGCTATTACTTAGCTAAACTTTAAAATAGAGGGCCATCTTAAAAACAGTTTTCAAGGAAATTTATCTTAACCATGTCCCAATAACACAGAATAGGAACAAACCTAATAATCTGTTTGGAGCACAGACAACTCCCCAAAACAGATATCTAACAAGTAAACAGAATGCCTAACAAATAATTTTAGTAAGTCTTTACAAAAATCCTACTGTTTTCCTAGAGAGACTCAAAAGACAGTATAGCACCTTGGATTAATAGGGGGCCACTCATTTTCCAAAGATGAGTTTATCATCCAGTTAGCCTCAGACATTCCAAGGGATTTACAAAGGTTAACATAGTCCTAACCAAGTTTGGATGTTACCCCATAGTTGAACAGAAGAAAAGGAAAGGCAAACATACAGACAGAAAGAGATTAAAATGCTAATCTTACCCCAAGAAAAATAAGCTTCCTGGTTGAAAATTTTACTCCTAAGTTATAAACACATTTTGGAAGCCTCTAAACATTGAAACAGGGTGTTACTTTGAGCCCCTGTCAACAGTTTGTCACTGAGGAAAATAACCCTGAAAATATTACCCCTAAAATATTAGACAGCCATAAATAAATCAGCTCAACAGCCCATAACTTATTTCAATAAGAAATTTAACATAATAGACCTTTTCTCAACTTTAATAATGTGAGCTGATGCCCTACATACATTGATATTTTTTGAAATTAGTAAAGCCATAAATTATACATAATTATTAAAGCTAGTTTTACTACATTAAGTTATTAAGGATACTCATACAACTGTTTCTTTATACATAAAGATTGTTTTGACATGGATCCCTCAAAATATCCTTACTAACTCAATGTCATATAAAATTCTAAATTAGATCACTATCTTAAAAAATGCTGTTGACTTATTCTTACCACTAATATTTGAGATACTAATTCCCCAAAGTCAACATTGAGCTTGATAACAATAATAACAACTTTTCATAGATTGGTAAATAAAGGCTATTCATTTTTCTAGTTCATTTTTTGTTAATGATAGAAAACAAAATGTCTTTCCTACGCTTATTAAACATGTATACTTTCTATTCTGGAAAGATGTCTCTACATACATATTTCTTATGCCCTTAGTAAAGGCCAGAGCTCCTAAATTAAGAACTCTGTCTCTTGCTTCTTTCCAAATTAAGATAATTACTTAAAATTCATCTAGAGCTAATTTCAAAATAAACATTTTTATATGTAACTTATTACATTCTTCATTATTGGTAATTCTGTTAAAGTCAAAAATCAAGTCATACATTTAGTGAAGGCTAAGATTCTATTTAACATGGTCCCTTTCCAATTCATTAATGTTGAACTCAACATAACTAACAAATGACTTGTCAAATTTCATGACCAACTAAAGATGGTAAGTCTTTTTTTATTTTTTAAATACTTGTACTATTGTCTATAACTCAAACTTGATCTCATGATCCTTGAAGTAACTACTTCAAATATTATTCATTGCTACTATGACTTATAGGCCTCTACTCAATTTTATTGAATAAATAAAGGAGGAAAACAGGACCCTATATGCACATACTAGATCTTACAAATATTTCAAAATTTTTTTTTCTTAAATTGTAATATTGAGAGTCTTACTGTCACTGAATATGATTCAGTAAATTAAGTCAGATTTCATAGGAGCATTTAAACCTGTCATTGTGAAAGTGACTGAAAAACCTGGCACAGGAAGGTAAATCTCCCAGCTATAGAGTTTACAGCCACGTAAACATCACGAGCTTGTCAGGTAAGTAAAAATTATGAAGAAACTCCTGTGGACCCATTTCTCAAGTCCAATTTTAATGTACATTACAATGTGGACTGGAAAATCCATCCACGTGACTAGATTAATTGTACTGACTATAATGGTCACTTATCTATATGTTGATCCTATGGTAAACAGGCTGTTTGGGAATATCTTTTGAGAAAAAGACAGCGTATGAGAAACCTAAACCAGCCAATTATGGTGGTCCTTATAAATTAAAACTGTTTTTATATATCTGGACAATTGTTAAAATAGAAAGATTGTTAAAATAGAATTTTCCTATACAGGCCAGTTATTTACAGACTGGTCTCCTAGAATTGACAAGGACAATTGCAGAAGCCTTAACCCTCAGTGAGATGGCATCCAAAAGGATGTCTGGTACTTAACTTCTGTCTCCAGAACTTCTGCATTACTGACAGACCTAAGAGACTCCTTAAATGTGAAAATTAAGAGAAAGGATAATAAATATCCTGTAGCCTATAAAAAAATGCAACTTGTCTAATTTTATCACTAGTTATAATAGAGAAAAAGGACATTGATCCTACATCAACATTGCTTTGTCCTATTGCCAGCTAGAATGCTAAAGTTAAGATTCAGGCTTGGAAACAGGTGCATACCATTAACCAAATCTAGGCAAGCTCTTGATCTCATGATCCTTGAAGTAACTACTTCAAATATTATTCATTGCTTCTACAATTACAGCCTTTATGGCTATGTTTTAAAACTTACAACATGTGAATTTTCTTAATAATTTGACTTAAATTACTTCCAAGATCCTTCATAGTCAGATAAGTGCTGACGGAAGGATTAGAACTAAGTTAAATGCTCTAAAAGCCACTATAATGAATAATACAAATGAGCCCTCTGTTCTATGGTTTGAGGAAAGGCTTAAATGCCATCCCAATTAAATATGTCTGTGTTACTGTGGCCAAACACAATGCTTCCCAATAAAATTGGGAAAAGATTAAGAATATTCTGATGAGTGTTTGGCAGAGTAATAAAAACAACCTGGATCTTTCAAAGTTAATTAAATGACTTTAATCTTAAAAAATGTTAAAACATTCTATATGATATGTTATTAGAATAATATGTTTTGTACTAATTCCTTTTGTGTCTCAATAGTAAGTCATGATGACCTCGGACCAAGAATCCAGTGACTGGAAGATGTAATTCCCTAATTACCTTTTTATATTAAGAAAGGGGGAATATGTCAGGAGCCACTCTGGAAATACAAGCCTTTAAGTCCTGAGCAAGAGATACTGAATTATTGCACCTGGCAGTTACTTGGGCTTTACCTCCACTGGATAATGAATGAGGTGTGGCTCCAGGAGTAGGCGTTACTTGGTGGGGTTGAGTTACACTCATCTGTTCCTCTGTAATCCTACCCCTTGCCTCATTTGAATGGCTCCTCCCCAATAAACCTGGGTTCGAGGTGTGCTCTTTGTCTTTCTTGCCTGCCTTGCCTCCTTTGTGGGAGCTGGGTCAGAGGAGCCATCACAGAACCCAAAGTAAAAGGTATCTCTCTCTGTGTGATTATTTCATGCCAGCCCAGTTCACCTGGAGTGACCCTGAATGGTTTAGTTGTGTCTCATGACACCCCTTAATCACCAGATCACCTCCCAATATCACCACAATGGCAATCAAATCCAACATGGTTTCTGGTGTGCACAGGCAAACCATATTCAAACCATAACACTGTCTTTTCACAAGTTGTTAGTGGGTACTGTTGGGTATGGGAAGGGGGCTCTCTGCTAAGATAACTGGAAAAAACTCATGGACAGGGGACAAAATCTTGCTACTGTGGCATGTTGAGAAGAAGGAATATTTTTTGGAGAATTGTACTGGTCATTCCTTCCTCTAAACCAATGTTTTTAAGCAACTATAGAAACAGTCTTGCCTTCAGCAGTGCTTTCTTTGGGCTCGGACCAATAACCAGGATATAAGTCCACAGCAGGGAGAAACAGAGGAGGCTGTAGTACATAAACCATAGCTGCTCCCACCAACCTGCAAAACAAAACAACTAAACAAGCAAATAGAAAAAAAAATGTACCTCAGCAGCTCCAAGCACAGGACTTTTATCTCCTCTGGTTCAGAGAGTCTGGCTCTTCTAGTTGAATTTAGATTTTATTTAAATTGTATTTCTCCTTCTCTTTAGGCGTCTGTTTCCTCCTGCTACTGACCACAGTCTGAGAGTTGGGACTGGCAGCAGTGTTGGCTTTGGGCTTGGGACTGGTAAATATGCATTTTACTGCTGGGGTGGAATGGCTCAGTGCTTGGTCACCTTGGAAGGATCACAGTAAGCCACTGTGCTGAGGTCCTGAGCCATGCATAGGTATTCATGCGTGCAAGGACATATTGTATAACCGTGCAATTGTCCAGGTGTGGTGGAGTTACTTGTTAGATGTGCTCTTGTTTTTACTGCCTCTGCCAGGGGTGTACGTTTACTATGCTAGAAGCAGGGGCAGTTTGGCTTGATCGAGGGTAGTTTTTGGCTACGGCCACATTTGATACGTTTCGGTGCCATGAGTAGTTCAAACTATGTGAATTTCACAATGGGGCGGGTTCATCCAGATTCTTAATTGTCGGTGGTGTTCCCAGAGGTAATTCTCTGGCTTTCAGCCCTCCCTTGGAGGTAGGCATGAGGCCAGGAGCGGGGAAGGTGGTCGTGCAAAGGAAAAGGGGACTACGCAATCTGGAGAGGAAACTAGCCAGTTTAAGACGTCCTGGATGCGACCCAGTAGCGGAGGCAACTAACTCCAGCAGAGCAAATGTGGGAGCCCCGCACAAACTCTTAATTCACGCAAGGAGAACGACGAGGTGTGCGCGCCGACAACCCGACGCACGCTCGCGGCGCTTGCTGCCTTGACTTCCCCATCCTTGCGGGGGAGGGGCCGGAGTCGCAGCCGAGGCCGCAGAGCCGAGAAAGTGCGCGAAGGGGACGCGCTGCGAGAGCACACGTGACGGCGCGGCGCCGAGCCGAGCGGGACCCGGCGGCGGCGGCGGCGGCGGGCGCAGCGGGGTGGCCCGGAGCGGCGCGGGCGGCCTGGAGCCCCGGGAGCGGCGCGCGCGGCCCCGGCCCAGCCGCTGTCCCGGCCTCGCGCTGCACATTCTCTCCTGGCGGCGGCGCCACCTGCAGTAGCGTTCGCCCGAACATGGCGACACGGAGCAGCAGGAGGGAGTCGCGACTCCCCTTCCTATTCACCCTGGTCGCGTTGCTGCCGCCCGGGGCTCTCTGCGAGGTCTGGACGCAGAGACTGCAAGGTGGCCGCGCGCCCTTGCCCCAGGACCGGGGTTTCCGCGTGGTGCAGGGCGACCCGCGCGAGCTGCGGCTGTGGGCGCGCGGGGATGCCAGGGGAGCGAGCCCCGCGGGCGAGAAGCCGCTCCGGACGCGACGGAGCGCTGCCCTGCAGCCTGAGCCCATCAAGGTGTACGGACAGGTGAGCAGTTTTGCAGCCCTCTTCCTTCCAGCTCTTTCCTCTCTCTGCACTTCCTCACCCCCGCATCCATCCTTTGCAGTCGCCTCCCAGGTGCAGGCACTACTGGGGACTTCCCGGCTTGCATTTGTTTTTTTTCCCCCTCATATGAGTATAACCGTCAGCCGTTGAATCGCATTGATCTTTCCTTCTTCCTGTCGATTTTAGCAAACGTATTCCAGGTAACTCTCTTGGGGTGCAGTGCACATTTCCCCAGGGTATGTGTAGACCGGTTTAGTTTCCGGCAGGTACAGGAGGGGTGCAGCTTCTTTTTCACATCTGGATAAAAAACGGGCTTTCTTTAGTGTATTCTCAGTTGAAGGCGAGTACCCTGCAGTTGCAGTGCACTTAACACAGGGGCGGGCGGAGGGGGTTTCCACACTTAACCATCCTGAACCCCAGTGAAGGTGGGGAAAACTGAAATCTCAGCCCCTGTCCTTCAGTCAAAGAAGAGGGTGTGTGTGCGTGTGTATGCACACATGTGTGCACGCACGCAATGGCTGAATTTTTTGTTTATTTTTGTGGGGGTGTGAGGTTCAATCCATCCCCTGTTTCAAGATAATGACTTTATTTTGGTCAGGAATATTCCTCATGGCACTTGGGAATTTGAAAAGACTGCAAGACATTTGGTGGACATTATTATTCAGTAAGTGATATATTTCTATCCAGGCAATGGGTTTATTAGATCATAAGTAACATGAATTTCACTTTTGTGGCCAGACTTATGGCTAGGAAATGCAAACCAAGTTTGTAGGTTAGTATCAGCACTGGCAAGATTAATTTGCCCATGTTATTGCCTCATGAGACTCCCAGTTCTGCAGTGAAGGTCGGTAGGGGAGAAAAGGTGGGACCCATGGAGGTGATAAACGTTCCGAGTCAAACTGTTCCCTTTTAAAGTGGAAATTAAAAGATTAGCCTGAGTTCTGTCTTTCTTCACTTATTTTGCCAAAGCCAGTTCCTCCTTCAGGAAATATGTAGAGTTAAACGTTCAACCCTTGGAGCCAGGAAGAACCTTATAAACCATGTCACCCTATTGTGTCTATTTCTTGGTGAAGAAACCCAAGTGCCAGAAGATGAAGTGACTAGTCCAAGGTCATTCTAGGAAGGGTTGCTTGCTCTTTTTTGTTTTTGTCTGCAGTTTCACTGATCTTTGGGTGCTGGGAGTCAACCTGTCTTTATACAGGGCTTCTTAAATAATTCCTTTCTAAAATCAGATGTATGTGGTTCTAAAGGGAGAGAGTGGTGGTGAGTGGGCAGAAGCATTTAATTTTCGCCATCAGCTCCCGGGCAGGAGGAGTGTGTGTCAGGGGTCTGTTGGAGCCCATCTGCTCCATTCCTCTTGGGCACAGATCCTTGTCCCTCTTCTCACCCCCATCTGAAACTTGTATTTTGTATTGTTGGAAAGATGTCAGCAAGGTCCTTGCTTTCCACAGGGAGCTTGGGGCTGGTGAGTGAGTGTGAGTGTGTTGTGTGTGTGTGTGTGTGTGGGGTAGTGGGTAGGGATAGACACTCCCTTTTTCACTGTGTCTTCCCAACTGGCCCAGTTCTAGGGGCTTAGAGTGGGAGGGATGGTGGACAGTCCCTTCCAGAGCTCCATTCTCCTTAAGAAGTAGTTTTGGTTGAAGGAGGAGCTGTCTGGTTTCAAAAATGGCAGGTACCATTTCTTCTTTGGGTTTGGTTTGTGAGTCTCCTGGGGATTTGAGACAGGTTAGAGATGAACTGTGTTTTCACTGGGAGTAACTCCAAAACTCTTGGCTTTTGTGTTTCTGGGCCGGCTGGACTGGGTTTAGTTCAGCTGAAGGATGCAGAGCTATCAGTGGAGCTCATTGAGGAATTCACACCAAAGAGTGAAAACCCAAGACAGTGTTTTTCCTGTTCTGTTGCTGCCTTCCTGTGCCCTTATTCTCTGTCACCTTGAGGTTCATGAAAAATGGCATTGACTTTACTCTTTAGTGATGTGAGTCAGATAGAAGGAAGAACTTCCTGGTATGGGCTTTCTGCCACAAGTCATATCTGTGTGGACCTTTCAGACTGCAAGATTGGAATCAGTGACTAAAGGGGTTTAGGGCTCTTTTGGGACCTCCAGATTCACATGTATTTGTAATGGCCTTTCTAGCAAGGGGGAACATTTGCCTCTTTTTCCTGGGACAGACACAGTTATGAATAATATCCCTTTCACTCAAAAGTGTCAGGATGCGACTATAAATCATATGGTCATCCTCCTCTGGCCTCATGCCAAGTTCCACTTTATAATCCCCCTTCAAGTTTTAAACCTAAGCAACTGAAGTATTTTCTGTTAGTGTTGCTTGGAGTTTGGTTCTGTGAGGGTCCAGATGAGATGAGTACAATTTTATCCTTGTTTTCTGGAAACTTAAAGTGTTTTTTTTTTTGGTTACCGGGCATTGAACTCGGGGGCACTTGACCCCTGAGCCACATCCCCAGCCCTATTTTGTATTTTATTTAGAGACAGGGTCTTACTGAGCTGCTTAGCACCTTGCTTTTGCTGAGGCTGGCTTTGAACTCACAATCTTCCTGCCTCAACCTCCCGAGCTGCTAGGATTATAGGCGTGCACCACTGCAACCTGCAGGAAACTTTACAAACTTAAACTTAGTTTAAGGAGGAGATAAAGCAGATGCAGATAGGGCAGGTAAATGTCCGGGAAGTGAACAAGTATACATGGACACACTAAATCAGTCCTACCTCCATTGTGACACATTAGTGGTCAGGGCTCAGAATGTTAAGGGGTGGATGGGGTCAGATGCTGTGCAGCTCCTTGTCTTCTTGGTGAGGCTAAGGGAACACCAAGAGCTGCAGGCAGAAGCTACTCAAAGAAGAAGGCTGAGAGGTAATGGGAAGGCCACCCACCAGCTTCAGGGAGAAGAGAATGGAAGGCTTTTTCAGGAGAATATTTGTGTCTGAGGAAGAGCCTGTGTTGGCATTGATGTTGGTCCCCCCCCCCCCCCAACCCTGCTCATCACTGGAGTAAATTTAGCTTTGTTATTTTGTGCATATTTCTCCTTGGATTCTCTCATGTGGGAGACTGGTTTCTGATGCCATTACTTAGAGGCATGTTTGTAATAATCAAAACCAATGTGCTATCAAGTATTAGGACTTCTCTGCCCAAGTTCAAAAGTTTAGAAGATAAGCCTTTTGTTAAAAGGCCAAGTTCAAGAAGGGATTCCAACCTTCTTGCCACATTGATTTCCTCCCATCCCATGCTTCTGTGCCATTATGCTTGCTTTGTCCTCTCCCTGAAAGGTCTTCCCCACTCTTGTCCTTGCCTGGAAAACACCTGTTTCATTCTAAAATATCCAGGGAATTCCTCTGGTTACTTCCAGGCTCCAATGGGAGTCTCGTGTTGTAATTACCTAAGTGTCCCATCCCTCTGTGTGCTCCATAAGGGCATAGAGTTAGCTTTTCCATGTTTCTCCAGCTGTGGGAATATCTGTGGACCAATTGCACACCTGGAAGAAGAGAGACCTGGAGGGTGGGGCACACATTCAAGTCATATAAAAGGTATTTGTAAGGAGGACAGTTGTGAACCCACAAATAGATAGTCAAAGTGCATTGGCTCAGCCCAATGGCATGGCCCTGGGGTCGTGGAGCCCTGATTTTCCTGTGCTGTCTGGGAGGACTGTCATTGGTTTGTGCTAATGGCATTGTTTTTTGGGAAAAATCCTTTGGAATGAAGCACAAAGCCTAACAGGATTTACAGGTTTATTTTGCCTCCAACGAGCTATCACTTCATAGTTTCTGTATTTTACAGGACAGGACATATTCAGTGTCCTGATTTGAGACTGAAAATAAAGTGTCTGTTACAGCACAAGGCCCTGGGACAAAGGATGTCCTTTGGGAGTGGTGCACTGCTTGGCTTTAGATCTCTTTTGAGTAGATTCTTGCATGACACACTGACTCTGGAAAGAATTGGCTAGTTGATTCTGAAGTCAGGATGTTTGACCTGTGTACTTCCAAATGAAGATGAGAAAGCAAAGCATTTGCTGTTTTGAGTTGGCTTGTACCTCGGAGAAGACTTGCTTGGCGTCTTGGGTTGGCTCAGTAAGGGATGTGACCTTGAAAAACTTCCTGGTGGCACTTGGCATCTCTTATTGAATTCTATGCAGTCTCTGGCCACTGTTTTAGTTTATTTGGAGTTTGCCTGCCATGGGGGTTGGATGGTGGACGAGGCTTTGAAGGGTGAAAGTGGGCCAGGACAGGAGTGAGATTGAAAAAAAGAAGAGATAAAATAAAAAAAATCATCCAACTTGTTTATTTAACCTTCAGCAGGTAATGTGTGTTTACAAAACCAATTTGTGCTAAGGAGTATGTAGTGACAAGTAAATTTCCTCCCATTTCCTGCTCTCATTTATCTCAGGCCCCTTCTCAGTTGGCAACCAATGTCATCAGGTTTTTGTATAACCTTCTAGAGTTATTCTATGGATATATAATACAGATGCATGTAAAATTACAAACTTGAATTACCAGTGGCTTTCTGTGACCTGTAATCCTGGCATCATGTGTAATGAGATTAACTTTAGTTGTAAAATATGTTTTGACATTATGACTGTGAATAGTCTGGGTGTTACCTGAAGACTCATAGCATAAAACAGATGGTTGGTTCTTCTCCAAGCCAGGTGAAAGAAAGTGTCTTTCCATTTCCCTTAGAGGGTTCCTGTGGGCCAGGAGAGCATCATTCTGGAGTCTTCTCCTAACTTGGAGAAATGTTGGCAAGCAGCTCTGTAGAATGTAGGGCCGAGGTTTGTGAGAATATCAGAATGTAGAGATCACAGATCTTGCTCTTAACTTGCGTTCTTTTCTAGAATGTTTTCATTATATTCTGTAAAATGAAGTTAATAGTATGCTTAATAAATTGCTTTGAGACCTGGGATCCATGAGGCAGATCCTAGCAGCAATGAATATCCCAAAGCAAAGGATAGATGTTGTAGGAATATTTTACCCTCAGAGT